CCTAGCCTCCAGAACTATGAGAAATAAATTTCTGTTAAGCTACCCAATCTGTGGTATTTTGTTATGGCAGCCCAAGCAGACCAATACCAATACAGATCTGGGTCATAAGGCATGCCTATATTCAGCTATTATATACATAGCACTATACTGCCAAAAATTTTTCCAAAATGGGGGCCAGCAATGTATAAGAGTTCCAATTACTCCAAATCCTAACCAATACTTAGTATTTTCTGTCTCTTCTACTTTAACCATTCTAGTAGGTGTGTAATGGTATTGCATTGAGGTTTTTAATTTCTATTTCTCAGATAATTATTGGAATCAAGCACTTTTTACCTGTTTATTGGACCACTGGTTATTCTTCTTTATAAAATGTCCATTAAAATATTTGTTCATTTTTCCATTGATTGTCTTTTTCTTAATGATTTGTATGAGTGTGTTCTAGATACTCAAATGCTTTATCAGATATATGTATTGCAAATACTTCTTCCACTCTATGAATTACCTTTTTAGTTTCTTCATATGGCTTTTGATGAATAGAAAATTTTAATTTTAAACTATCCCAATTTATCAATTTTATTAAATTCTTTTTTTTTTTTTTTTTTTTTTTTTTTTTTTTTTGAGATGGAGTTTCGCTCTTGTTGCCCAGGCTGGAGTGCAATGGTGCAATCTTGGCTCACTGCAACCTCCGCCTCCTGGGTTCAAGCGATTCTCCTGCCTCAGCCTCCCAAGTAGCTGGGATTACGGGCATGAGCCACCACACCTGGCTAATTTTGTATTTTTAGTAGAGATGGGGTTTTTCCATGTTTGTCAGGCTGGTCTCGAATTTCCAACCTCAGGTGATCCATCTGCCTTGGCCTCCCAAAGTGCTGGGATTACAGGCAAGAGCCACCACACCCAGCCTAAAATTCATTTTTAATATGTTCTAGGCACCTACAATGTTCTACATGCCTTTAAAACAAAAACAGGAATGCAAAGTCCCTTCTAGGAGCAGCATGAAGTATGTGTGCACATGCTAAATGCTGTCCACAGTATTGGTCTTTATAATCATTTTAAGGGGTTCCTTCTAACAGAGATGCCGTTTCTCTATGCTATGTGGAAAAATGTATTTATTTAATGCATTCTTAATTATAGGATACAATTTTTTAAAAAAACATCAACTTAGGCTTTTGAGTGCAACATCCCTAGGTCCCTGTTTCACAGCCATGAAGAATTGGAACTGAAAAGAAAATCAAGCATGTGATCTGAGTTGTGGGTTGGTTGCTGTTGTTTTGAGAAATTATCTTATTTCAATTATGGAAGTGGCACCAAATGATCTTAAAGTCAGAAGAGATGTTATTTTCTCCATCTCTGTATCTTTAGGTAAGGGAATGTTTCATTCAAACACTCTTAAATATGGGGTGTGGCCCACCATTTTTGTCTCTCTTTGAGGGAACTTTCTACCTTAGAATAGAAAAGAAAGGGAGATAGTGAAAGAGGCTCGGGTTAAGAGAAACCTTCACTGCTGATGAGGTTTAGCCAAGAGAGTTGTTACCAACAGAAGTCCTTCAGTTTGGTAGCCCTTTTCCCAAGCCTTCTTGATGCAAAAATGCAGTGAACATATGTAATATCTGGTCCTCTTTGTCAGTGGTTTTCATCTCATATGCCACAGAACCTAGGGTTTCTCAGACATACTTCAGGGATTCTGCACATGTTCAATTCAAATTTCATGTTTTTTTAAAAAAGATTTTTATATTGCCAAAAGACAGATAATGCCAAAATTTAACATATTGCAAACTGCCCACACATTAATTTGAGGTTAAGTCATTTCAGTGTAGATCTCATAATTAATCTCCTGCTGCCATTTTTGTAATTGAAGCACATGGCCGGATTTCAAGATGAATAATTTAAAAACCACTCTTATTTGTATCTACTTCTCTGAAGAAATCGGAATTTTCTTGATAGTGTACAACCAAAACAGAAGATGCAGAAATAAACTGGATACTGAGTCTGCTGTAACTGCCACTATGTTGAAGTTAAAATAAAGATACAGAGATTAATCTCTAAATTTAACACTTTTTTGGGGGGGGAAATTGCAATTTGGTATATACACACAGACCAGGTGGTCTTCAATATGTCCTAAGAGCGAAGAGACGGTTGGAGCTTTTATAAAACAGAAAAATGTTACATAGTGCTCTTTGAGAAAGTTCATTGGCACTAGTAAGGTTCTGAGGAGCTGGCAAGCTTCAATAGGTAAGGCAGTGGGGAGAATTAATTCTAGAGTTGCAGCAAGTTATCTCAGCAGTTACAGATAAAACTGGTCTCAGGTCACAACAGGCAGTTTCAGCAGTGGGATTTGTAGAGAATTACATTTCTGAAGTAATGTCATGTGTCCTGAGTGCTTTCTCCCCACTGGCTTTTCCACTGTTTTAGCTGGGGATAGGAACGACTCAATTCAAAGGATCCACTTTCACAACCACAACCCCCAGCTTCAATATTTTGCAAGCAATAGGATCAAGAGTTCAGTGGCAGTGGGGCCAGCAATGGCATGCTCGCCAGACTAGTTCCTGTTGGTCTTATCTATGTCTTTGCTGTTCAGACTCTCCTGGTTCCTTCCTATTTTCTGAGACTAGTTCTCTAGACTTCTTGTTTACTATTTGGGCTACCTACTTTTCTTCCAATGAATCCCCTTTCTGCTCAAAACAAAAGAAAATCCAAGACAACAACACACTGAAGTTTCATTGTTTTGTTTTTTATTTACCTAAAAGGTTAATATAAAAAATTTGAACTTACAGCTGGACATGGTGGTTCCTGTAATCCCAGTGACTCAAGAGGCTGAAGTGACAGATTGGCTTGAGTTCTAGACCAGCTTAAGCAACATAGTGAGAATGCATGCCTAAAAAATAAATAAGTAAAATAAAAGGTTAAAACAATGTTTGAACTTATGTTTAGTTATAAAGCATAAGTTTTTTTTTTGTTTTGTTTTTTTTTTTTAGACGGAGTCTCGCTCTGTCAGCCAGGCTGGAGTGCAATGGCACGATCTTGGCTCACTGCAACCTCTGCCTCCTGGGTTCAAGCGATTCTCCTTCCTCAGCCTCCTGAGTAGCTGGGACTACAGGCATGTGCCACCACGCCCGGCTAATTTTTGTATTTTTAGTACAGACAGGGTTTCGCCATGTTGGCCAGGCTGGTCTCGAACTCCTGACCTCAGATGATCCACTGGCCTTGGCCTCCTAGAGTGCTGGGATTACAGGTATGAGCCACCACGCCCAGTCTAAAGCATAAGTTTTAACCAATTTTATGTGTTGGGGATCTTCTTCAACAGATTTTGTTTGAAAAAGGACTCCACTGTTTTTTAAAATTTAATTTGGTCAGGTGCAAAGGCTCACACCTGTAATTCCACCACTTTGGGAGGCCGAGGTGGGGGGATCACTTGTGCCCAAGTGTTCAAGACCAGCCTGGGAACATGGCAAAATTCCACCTCTACAAAAAATACCAAAAACAGTGGCCGAGTGTAGGTGGCACACACCTGTAGTCCCAGCTACTTGGGAGGCTGAGAGTAGGAGGATCGATTGAGCCCAGGAGGAGGAATTTGCAGTGAGCCGAAATCAAGCCACTGCACTTCAGCCTGGATAACAGTGAGATCCTTTCAAAAAAAAAAAAAAAAATTCTATAAAGTCCAAGTTCTATAAGGTAAAGTTCAAGTTCAAATTCTGTAAGGTAAAGTTCAAGATTCGGCATATGTTGGTGGGTGCTCAATCAATGTTCAATAAAAACTGGGGAATACGCCAGGTGCAGTGGTTCACGCCTGTAATCCCAGCACTTTGGGAGGCTGAGGCGGGTGGATCACGAGGTCAGGAGTTCGAGACCAGCCTGGCCAATATGGTGAAACTGCGTCTCTATTAAAAATACAAAAAGTAGCAGGGTAGGGTGGTGCACGCCTGAAATCCCAGCTACTCAAGAGGCTGAGGCAGGAGAATCACTTGAACCTGGGAAGCAGAGGTTGCAGTGAGCCAAGATAGCGCCATTGCACTCCAGCCTGGGTAATAGAGCGAGACTCCGTCTCAAAAAAACAAAACAAAACAAAAAACTGGGAAATACAAAATTTCGCCATACTATCCTACATCCCCCTTGAGTTTTTAGCAACGATAGTAATTGTTATATGATGCTTAACGCGTAATTACTGTACCTCATTTACATAAGGTGGTTTCAGACACATCATCTTGTTTATGTATGGCCTTTCCAAACAAAATGAGTTCAGGACAAAAGAGGAAATGCTTTTTTAAAAGTAGGTGTGTCTGTAAGTTATTGCCTCAAGAGGCCGCAAAGTTTGAGCAAAGGTTTTCCCAAAGTAATGGATTGATAATGGGTGACTGAGGACCACAAAGGTCGGCAAGACGCTCCTGGTCCGTCTACCAGGTTCTTAGAGGGAGGTGGCCTTGTGTGTTCGGACGCTGCACCGAGACACGTGAGGTTTTTAAATAAACTTCTGATTTTGAAATCTCTGGGACTAATTTTAAACAGTGAACCCGACAGCGAGGACCTACACACAAAAGTGCTCCTGGCCTTACCAAACAACGCAGACCTGGGATCTCGGCTGCTTACTCACTTCCCTGAGGACGCCTCGTCGTGTTTCAACGACACCCAAGAGTTTCCCTGAAGCCCAGGGCGTGGGAGGGAGACCTGGGTTTGAGTTCTGCCCCTTGCGGAGGTGGTTAAGTTACTGAATTGTTTTACACCTAAATTTTCCTCAGACCCAAATTGATGAGACCTGCCCGAATCCCTCCTCCGCCCCAGAGTCACTAATGACGGCGCGAGGTCATACCAGGCCACTCAAAACCAGCCCTTTGACGCAGGTGTCTCTCCGCCTCCCGCAGGTCCCGCCTCGCGCAGGTCACGCCTCCTGTCCCCCGGACTCCACCCCCAGCGGGAGGCCTCAGGACCGCTGTGCGCACGCGCCGCCGCACCCCGGGGGCTTTCGGGCACCCGCGCGGCGCCCGTTGGCCTTCCCGCCGCTCGCCCGGGGGCGCGCTTGTGCGTTGGCGGCTGCGGACACCCGCTTGCGTCCCCGGCGCGGCGGGCCATGGAGGCCCTACGGATGGCCCACGAGGTCGCGCTTCGCCTGCTGCTGTGCAGGCCGTGGGCCTCGCGCGCCGCCGCCCGCCGCAAGCCCCGCGCCTCCGAGGTGCTGACGCGGCACCTGCTGCAGCGGCGCCTGCCGCACTGGACCTCCTTCTGCGTGCCCTACAGCGCCGTCCGCAACGACCAGTTCGGCCTCTCTCACTTCAACTGGCCGGTGCAGGGCGCCAACTACCATGTCCTGCGCACGGGCTGCTTCCCCTTCATCAAGTACCACTGCTCCAAGGCGCCCTGGCAGGACCTGGCCCGGCAGAACCGCTTCTTCACGGCGCTCAAGGTCGTCAACCTCGGTGAGTGGCGACTGCCGCGACCACGCGGTGAAGCCCGCCCCGCCGGGACGGCCCCGCAGCGGCCGAGCACTTGACGAACACTCGCGGGCAGGTGGAGTCCCGCCGGGGTCGGCTCTGCCTGCCGGCGCTGGCTTCGCCTTGGGTCCTTTGTAGTCCTCGCCCAGGGGTCCCCAGCTTGCCGAGCTCCTGGCTCCCGAAGCCGTTCACCTGCTGCGGGCGCATCCTCGGGCCTAGGGAGGAGCAGGCCGCCCTCCCGTCCTGCCCAAGTTAACCAGGGACGACCCCTGTCTGGGCACTAAGCCAGGGGGCGTCAGGAAACGCCCCCTGGAAAGTGGCTCCGAAGTTGACACCCGTTTTACTGCATGGCAGGACTCATTCCCGTGAACATCACTTTGCGGCTGCATTATGTTGCAAGAACTGGAACTACTCTTTCAGTTTCTTTGTTTTCTTTATATGAATTCAAAGTTTGTTTTACTAAAAGCACCAAAGGTTTTCACCAGACATAACGCTTCCTGAGGTACTAGGCCTAAAATATTTTTAAAGGTCTTTAGTATTTGTATGTTTTCATGGAGATGCCCTGAGGGTGTTTACTGTCACTAGGTGTATATTTTCTTTTGGTTTAATGACAGAAGAGGTACGAACATGGAAATAGGTCAGGGGAAAACAGAAGGCCTCAGGATGTTTTGAACTTACTAATAGCTGGTATAAAATCAATCTAGATTTCAGTGATTCAAAATCTAGCCATGGAGCTGAATGAAACATGTTACCCAGCCAGGTTTTAAATGCCAGGATTAAACTATGCCCTGCGCAGCCGTGCTAGTAATACTATTACATAATCTGATCGTCCATTAAGGTTAAAAGTGGTCTGTGTATTTTTGCTTATAATAACATATATGTCAGTCATGGACTTTTTGAGCCGTTACTCCACTGGACTGTCCTGTAAGGAGAAAATTATTTAGCAAAGTGTTATCCTTTAAAAATGCCTCTTATTATTTGACTGATGGACTGTATAGAGCATGCCCACTACATTGGAGGTTGGTTGAAGTTGAAGGGTGAGGTGACTTAGGAAATTCAATTAGAAATTATTTGGAAAGACTGGAGTGTTAACTAGATTCGAGAAGTAAAGTTTATTTTAGCATTTTCATAAGCAAGAAATCATTCTTCCCTAAAGAATAATAGGGAAAGCATAACGGGAGGGTTATAGGTAAACCATGAGCCAAATGCCTTCTTTTCCTTTAAAGTCACATTTTTAGTGTTAACATTTTGTTTAAGATCACCTTAATGATTAGGGGCCTCTCTTTTAGATATAGATTTTAAGACATCCAAAAAAAGTGGATACTCAGAACATTCCACACATAGAAAAGTAAAACCTTTTAAAGTTGAAAGAAACAACAGTTGTAGTGTGTTTTGTTTTGTTTTTTAAAGTGAGAGAGTGATTTAATGGTATGTATGGTCTTTTGGACATTCTAAAAATCCTGGTAAAATGAGAGTAAGAGTTCTAAGTTAAGCAAAAAGGACAACTTTTTGCTCATGCATGCTTTAATACAAATTGGGATATACTGATAAAGGAAATTTAAAAATATTTTAAAGTGGTGAACACATCTGGTAACATTTATTTTTAATTTTTGTCTGAAGGTAGAGGGGATGTGAATTAGATAATAGAGTCCTTTCCTATTCTGTGATGTACAGTCGTCTCTCTGGATGATCAAGTACATACCCTATTAATATTATACTTAGGATTTTGTTCCTCTTCTTCCCTTCCAAATTAGTAATTACTAGAGTAATTCATTTTTCCATTTTGTAAATAATAAAGATTTCTGTTTACCCATTTGCTCCTTTTCTCCTCCGTCTTCCCTTCATTGGAAGCTGACATTTTACTGATGGTTTACCAGTCTAGGTATCCTGCTGAGAGGTAGATTGAGATTTAAGAAAAGCAACTTACCATTGGAATGAATGGGATTTACTGAGGAATTCTAATTTTTTAAAGTACTTAATTTGACAGTGGTTTACCTACTGTTCAACTGACTCAAAGTGAATTATTATGCAAAGAACTGATTTTCAGGTTCTTTTGATGTTATATGTTTCAGATATAAATTTAATTTTTCAGAAAAAATTGAATTTTCCATAGAACCTTACAGACTTTAAAGCATACAAAGAAGATTGTGCTACAAAGAAGATTTTGTAATATATAAGTTATATAGGTGGCAAACCTTCCCATTTTGAGTATTAGTCTGATTGCATTAAATAGACAGCAAAGGGAAAAAATACAGAATTTCTGACTCAGATCATAACTCCATCTCCTGTCAAACAGCATTACTGCTAATGGTTCCTGGTTATTTTTTAATAAGATATAATATAGTTATTAAGCTAGTAATCTTAATAAAAATCAGCCCTTGATTTTAGCTGAAAAGATATTGACTGTTTTTTTCTGTATTTATGATTTTTCAAAAGTATGAATTTTTAAAATCAATATGTTAACTGATAACTGTGATAAATATTGTAAAACAAAATTGTCAGTGTCACCAGGTATTCCTTACATTTATATACTTAGCCTTGGTTTAAGAGGCCTATTTTATATATTTTAGTCTCAGTATGCTTAGAAAACTAGTAATTGCTTCTAGAGCCTATTTTTTTCTTCCTCATTCCATTGATTTTCAGCTTTTGAAGTTGTGATATTGCATTTTAAATTCATTTTTTATTTCAACTACTCCCTCTACTTCTCTCTCATTTCTGCCTAGCTTGTTCGTATTCTTCTTTTTCCACCTCCCACCCCTGTGCCACTTGCCTTTTTTTTTCTTTGTGGTTAAATGATTTATAAGTAGCTTTATTATTCTAGTTTTTTGTGGATTTTTTTTATGACATTCCCTTGAGGTATTTAGAGATTCTTTTGGACATTATCAGGGCAAAGAAGGTGATACACTAAGGTTTCATAGGAGTTCCAGGGAACCCTGTGATGGTGACAAACTGTGACCCAGTATATTCCTAAAAATAGAGAGATTCTAGCCTGAATGGGCATTTTTTTCCTCTTCTCCTCATTACCAGCTAGTGATGTGATGCTTCTCCTGATTAATCTCTGGTATCACAGTGACTGGAATGCAGCTTCAGGGAGAAGCACAAAGTAGTTCAACAAACACACTCAAAAAGAGCTTAACACAGCAAATATATTCTTGCAGAAAAATAAGACAAAAATTTAGCAATATGATTAGTCCAGAGCATGTGTTGCTTTTTTTCTTTCTTTTTTTTTTTTTTGAGTCGAGTCTCTCTTTGTCGCCAGGCTGAAATGCAGTGGTGTGATCTCGGCTCACTGCAACCTCTGCCTCCTGGGTTCAAGCAATTCTCCTGCCTCAGCCTCCTGAGTAGCTAGGATTACAGGCATGCACCACTACGCCCAGCAAATTTTGTATTTTTAGTATAGACAGGGTTTCTCCATCTTGGTCAGGCTGGTCTCGAACTCCCAACCTCAGGTGATCTGCCTGCTTCGGCCTCCCAAAGTGCTGGGATTACAGGCATGAGCCACAGTGCCCGGCCGCTTTCTTTATTACTAGAAAGTAAGTGATTTTCCAAATGTACAGCTATCCTTTTAAAGTATCACTTTCTGCCCATTTCCCTCAAAAGAGCATAAAATTAATGCTTGTCCAGAGCATACTATTTGTTATTGATTCATGTGCCTATGGTTTTATTACATTTTTAATATGTTAGTAGTCATTGATTTTAAATAAGTACCTTTAAAAAGATAGGAATTGTGAAAGTTTGTTTTGTGTCCAACAGTCTTATATGCAAGTGAGTGCTTAATGCATACCTCTGGATAGTGTGTTTAGTTTTGTTTATCACAAATGGCAACTAATCTCAAAGCAGCAAAATCTTATCAATTCCAAAGAAGAAACACATGTTGGAGTCTACTGTATATCGATTTCAAATTGGCTGAAACAAGGTTGTTTTCAGATCAACTGAAAAAAAGCTGAATAATAGTTTTTTTCTCATGCCTATTGTACTGAAATCTTACTTGGAGTTAGATTTTGCCTTAGATTTTAAAGACAGCTCTTTGACCCAGCTTCTTTTAAGTTGCACAAAAATTACTTCAGCCATTAGTGTTACTACTAACTTAAAGAACAGTAATGTTGGCCGGGTGTGGTGGCTCACACCTGTAATCCCAGCACTTTCAGAGGCCTAGGCAGGGGGATCACAAGGTCAAGAGATCGAGACCATCCTGGCCAACATGGTGAAACCCCGTCTCTACTAAAAAAGTACAAAATTATCTGAGCATGGTGGCGCGTGCCTGTAGTCCCAGCTACTCAGGAGGCTGAGGCAGAAGAATCGCTTGAACCCAGGAGGTGGAGGTGGCAGTGAGCCGAGATAACACCACTGCACTCTAGCCTGGCAACAGAGTGAGACTCCATCTCAAAAACCCAGTAATGTTAACCTAGTAATTTTAGCTCAAGGCTAATAATCAGGAGTATCTACAACTAAATTAATGAGTATTCTTCTCCATTTTCTTATTTATGAAAAGAATATAGAATTACTTCATGATTATTCAAGGATAATGAATTTATGAAGTACTTGAATTAACATTTATACCCACCTTGTCTATAGTATGAAAACCTCTGGACTCACATAATTGCCATCATGTTCCACGTTGATGAAATTGAGCCCTTAGATAATCATAGAGTCAATGTTGAGTAGTATTTTTATATTTTACCACATTGTAATTTGTTAACATTGCTGAAGAGTGTTATATGTGATTAGTAACTTGCATGATTAATAAGCATTGATGTTTATACATATTCATTTGTTTTCTAGGTATTCCAACTTTATTATATGGACTTGGCTCCTGGTTATTTGCCAGAGTCACAGAGACTGTACATACCAGTTATGGACCCATAACAGTTTATTTTCTCAATAAAGAAGATGAAGGTGCCATGTATTGAAAGTGTGCATCGAAGAACATAAATATCAGTGGATTTTCTCTGTGTATATGTGCAGTATTTATTTTTGATCCTTTAAAATAAAACTTTTGCAAATACTATTTTCTTTCTACAGTATCTGCTTCTTTAAGATGAATCATTGCCCTCAAGAGGTGAAGCTTTTTGTACACTGTTATATATTACGTACTCTGTTAGCTGATGGGAACTACAAACACATGAAGCTTCACACCATTTTTTCCCTAGAACTAGGTTAACCTACAGATAAAAAATGATTACAATGTAATAGATTCTATAATTAGGTATTAACAATTTAAATCAACTCTGAAGAAAAAATAGAGATGCCCACACAAAAGAGGAGGGGGGAAAATATTTTATATAACAATGGAAAAAGAAGTAGAAGACATTAGGATGTATGATGGAAATATTATATCATTGGCAAATCGAAAATTGATGAGAATCTAATTGTAATCTCAAGACTAAGCCATTCAGCTGCCAGGATTGTAAATAGAAATGTTTTAAAGGCCTTGTGCCATTTACCTGGAGGAGGGGTTGGAGTGTAATGTTGAAACTTCTTGTTGCTTAAAGAGTCCAAAACCATATCGTTTTTAAAATGTAATAATAAGTGGTTAATATAAGTGTAGCAAGGTGAATGAAATTCAGACTTATTAAAAGTTAAAATAGCTTTCCTATAAAGCTGCCAGAACAATTAAGGTCTTCTAGAAAGATGCAGAAAAATAAATTTAGTAACTGTTTATAAAAGCAATTAACTGAAATGGTATATATCCATAGACTTATTGGCAATAGGGAATGGGCTGAAATTTTAAAGACCTAATGGCACTTTTGCATTTGAATTTTATTAATTGCATTTTTGAAAGCCAAGTCATTTAAAAAATTTATCCTTGGGGTAGTCACAACATACCCAGATGAATGGTAAATTTCAGAAATTTGGAGTAATTTAGGGAAAACTAAGTAGAACTATTTAATTTCTAAACCAATGGGTGTTTAAGATTTATGATCTCTCCCATAATTACAAACATACATTATATATCATTTTATGTTAATGTGTTGCTGATACTCTGCAACACTTACACGTTTTTGTAGCAAAACATTTAATAAAATTCAACATTTGGATGCTTACTCCTGTCAAGTCAGTAGAGAAAGTGAGTGGAAGTGACTGAGGTGAAGGCACCAGAATAATGAAGTAATACAAACCAGCTTCGTTAAAGGTAGTCATTTTAAATGATCTACAGAGAGTGAACTGTTCTGCAAATATATGTAGTGTTCACTTGTCTAAAAGCAATTCTAAGTAACAGTTTAATCAAAGAAGTACTTACACCAATATATTTAGTCCAGATGAATATACTTGACACTAGTTAAATGAATGGCTTACACAAAGGAGATAGTGTTACATTAAGCTTCATTAATAATAAAACAACTGACTATTAGCATTTTGCAGGGAAGGCTAGAACTGATTTCCTCTGTAATGGGCAAAGTTAAATAACTATAGCTCATAAGTTTTAAGTCAAGTACTGCTCATTCATTGCTGCTGGTCTTGTCAATACTGGCTGTAAAGGTTTGGTCCCAACACAAGGCTGATAAAATGGTTTTTAATTACCAGACTATGAATACAGCTTTTCAGTAGAGTTGCACCTCTTTTCACACTGGCCTGTTTGATTTCTGATCATTTGTACTGCTGACTCTGCTTACCTGTTTTTCAATAGCTATAGTCAGTGTGACTTCTTGTCCATATGTGATAGGTAAGTCTCCTTGGAGAACATCTTTGACAAACTACCCTATTGATCTCTGTAATTCTCTGCTGCTTGCAGCATTAAATAGGGCCTTGATTTCTTGTCTGATGTGCTCACTATAACAATTAAGCAAATGTAATATTTTCTTGTATTACATGAAAATCAATAGACCTCTTGCTCTTATGGAGTTGATCATGGTGAAGGATGAACTCAACAATGGGTAAAGGTGTGGTTTAAAAATTTAAATATCATTCATTGGATTTATTAAGTCTTGTAAACTTTTAGTCCGAAAACAGTACTTCCCATTGAACAGCAATGGTTTAAGTTTTTTCTTTAAAGCTGCATATTATACCAAAGTATTATGGCCTAAAAGGGAGAAAGTATAAACGTGTAAGTCAGGAGACTAAGTCTATTTTTAGTATCAGTGCTGTCTTTTTGACCTCAGGCTAATAACTCTCCTCCTTTGTGTCTTAGTTTTTCCACTTGCAATCTGAGAAGAATGAAACAAGAGACTTTTCTACCCGAAAATGTGCATCAGTTTTACTTTTGTCTCTGCAAAAGCTCTGTTTTTATAATCCACATTCTTCTGCTCCATATATTTACATTTATACTTAAAGGACTTCATTAATTAAAACATTTCAAAAACAAGGTGATGGAGAGAGAAGGAGAGGTGCGCTGAAGGCACATGCCCACTAACCCTGAAGTGCCATGTGGGGAGCTGAACAGGCCCTGCTCTTCTGCATATGAGTAGTTTCCTTAATTGGTGAAACCACTGATTTAGCTTTTCTGTCATATTTCTTTTGATAGGATTTTTGTCTTTAAAATAATCCAACCAAAACTGTTTTAATAAAGGTGTACTTTTAGTACAAAACCTTGCATCTCTTCTATTGTTATTTCTATACAAATGAATGATCATGTATTGGAATAAATTTCTAGGCAAAATTCTCAGTTCCTGTGTAAGGTTTGAGCCACTATAAAGATTCAGTAACCTATTTGGGAGCATAGGAGAGGCTGCTAATACAAAAATCTCTTATTTTCTTAGTGCTGATGTCCTAAAATGCCAAATTGTACAATCAGTTATAGTTTACCACACATTTTGGGGCATTAATATTTTTCTAACGTTGACTTCTGTAAAAATTGAAACTTTTCTTTTTGAGAGGAGTTTTAGTCTTGTCCAGGCTGGAGTGCAGTGGTGCGATCTTGGCTCATTGCAGCCTCCGCCTCCCAGGTCCAAGTGATTCTCCTGTTTCAGCCTCCTGAGTAGCTGGGATTACAGGAATGCACCACCACGCCTGTCTAATTTTGTATTTTCAGTACAGACGGTTTCACCAAGTTGGTCAGGCTGGTCTTGAACTACTGATCTCAGGTGATCCGCCCGCCTCGGCCTCCCAAAGTGCTGGGATTACAGGCATGAACCACTGCGCCTGGCTGAAACATTTTTAAGTATTAAAAACCATATGTATTTTTTAAAGTACATTTTACTTCACGTCATTTATATTTATATTCACCCAAAACTGTAAGCACAAAACATCTATAGTTCTTCATGAAATATCTTTTAACTCTGTTAATGATGTTTGAATAAGTGGGATGACATAAAAGGCAAAGATCTTGGTTTCACTTCACTGAAAAGCTAATGCAGACAACAGAAACCTTATCCTAAAACTAGTGGATTAAGTATCTACTGTTTTTCAGCTCTTACTATTCAGACAATAATGACATTTGGGGGCATCTTAACCTAACAAGTACTTAGCATTACATCTCACCTGGGTCAACAGTCTAGGGTATCAGAGTTAAATTCTGTTACTGTAAATTAATGGAAAATGTAACTGCACTTTGCTGAAAGATCAATGTCCAATAAAGGCTGCACAATCAAATCTTGTTGCAATGATTGAGGTCTTTAATTGCCTTTCAAAGATAAGGTGGTAATCAACACAGCTTTAACTGATCTTTTTTACTAGTTCAATTACATGTTAATGACTAGTGCCAAGTCAGAATCTTTAACTACTTATACTTATTAAATCTGTTAGTAATGAAAAATTACTTAAGCTACACAATCGATAGAACACAAATCTTAATTACTAGATTTCACTTTCATATGATTTTATGTGCTTGACAAATGTTTCACCAGGGCTTTCCCAACAATAAGAAGTGTTATTAGTATGACCACAGTCCACAGAGTAGTTTTCTAATATAAATTGGAGATCAGATGTGGAATTTTTTTTCTTTTAATGAAAATGTGGCTAAAACAGTTTCCACCAACACAACCTTGGCAATTAAAAAAAAAAAAAAAAAGGTGGCCGGGTGCAGTGGCTCACGCCTGTAATCCCAGCACTTTGGGAGGCCGAGGTGGGCAGATCACAAGGTCAAGAGATAGAGACACATCATGGCTTACATGGTGAAACCCTGTCTCTACCAAAAATACAAAAATTAGCTGCGCGTGGTGGCAGGCGCCTGTAGTCCCAGCTACTCAGGAGGCTGAGGCAGGAGAATGGCGTGAACCCAGAAGGCGTAGCTTGCAGTGACCGAGATCGCACCACTGCACTCCAGCCTGGGCGACAGAGCAAGACTCCGTCTCACCAAAAAAAAAAAAAAAAGGCAAAACCAAAACCACAATTACTTTTGCACCAACCTATAATACTTCGGAAAAGGATAAAGGCAGATGACAAAAGAAAAAATAGACAAATACAACCAGGACTTCATCAAAATGTAAAATGTTTGTGCTTCAAAGGTCTCTATCAAGAAAATGAAAGACAACCCACGGAACGGGAGAAAATATGTACAAATCATATATCTGATAAGGGACTTATATCCAGAATACATAAATAACTTTTAAAGCTCACCAACCCAATTGAAAATTTGATTTGAACACACATTTCTCCAAGAAGATATATAAATGGCTAACAAGCACATGAAAAGATGTTCAACTAATCATTAGGAAAATGCAAAACAAACCCACAACGAGATACCACTTCATATCCACTAGGATGACTGTGATCAAAAAGACAAAAATAAGTGTGGATGAGAATGTGGAGAAATGAAAAACTCATGCATTGCTGGAGGAAATGTAAATTGGTGCAGCTGCTTTGGAAAAGTTTGGCAGTTGCTCAAAATATTAAACACGGAATTACTATATGACCCAGCAATTCTGCTCCTAGGTATATACCCTAGAGAACTGAAAACATATATCCACACAAAAACTTGTACACAATTGTTCATATCAGCATTATTCATACTAGCAAAAAAGTGGAAACAAAAATATTCATTAGTTGATGAACAGGTAACATGTAGCATAGTGACACAACGGAATATTACTCATTCAAAAAAGGGATGAAATACTGATACAAGCTATACCAATGATGAAGCTTAAAACTATTACACTAAGTGAGGCCGAGCAAGGTGGCTCACGCCTGTAATCCCAGCACTTTGGGAGGCTGAGGCGGGCGGATCACAAGGTCAGGAGATCGAAACCATCCTGGCGAACACGGTGAAACCCCGTTTCTACTAAAAATAGAAAAAATTAGCCAGGCGTGGTGGCGGACTACAGGGTCGCAGCTACTCGAGAGGCCGAGGCAGGAGAATGGTGTGAACCCGGAAGGTGGAGGTTGCAGTGAGCCGAGATCGCGCCACTACACTCCAGCCTAGGTGACAGAGCCAGACTTTGTCTCAAAAAAAAAAAAAAAAAAAAAAAATTACACTAAGTGAAATCAGCCAGTCGTAAAAGATCTCATATAATTCCATTTATATGAAATGTTCCCAATAGGCAAATCTGTAGAGACGGAAGGTAGATTAGTGGTTGCCTAGGGCTGAAGAGGTTGGGGGGAAATGGGGAGTCACCACTAAGGGGCATGGGGTTTCTTTTGCTGCTGATGAAACTGTTCTAAAATTGATTGGGTTTGGTTGCCCAATTCTGTGACTATATGCAAACCACTGAATTGTACACTTTAAATGAAAGAAGTGTATGGAATTATATCTTAATAAGTCTCTTAAAATTATTAAAGAGAAGAGGACAGGCTGGATGCAGTTGCTCACGCCTGTAATCCCAACACTTTGGGAGGCCGAGGCAGGAGGATCACCCGAGGTCAGGAGTTCAAGACCAGTCTGGCTAACAT